AGGGTTAGATGTACTTATTATTTCAGCTTTCTATTTGTTGAACTCAAAATGTGTATGTTTTTTCAACCTGACCAACTATGTCATTATGCAAGTCTTCAGCAACAAATTATCTAGTGTATTGAATTTTTGCAGTAAAAAAATATTGCTGAAGGTCAGCTGATGATGTGTGTCGGTGTGATAAACAATAATGTTCACAAACAGGTTTAGTTATTAAGATAAAGCACACCTGTCAGGTAAAATCTAAATTCCAGGCAGAAAAAGATGTTTTTACATATATTCCTCAATAGCTACCAAGGTTATAATTCACTTTGTGAGCAACCAATTCCTTTGCAAACTCAGACTTTACCTTGTAAAAGTAGCAGTGACATCATCATTGTGCTGTACATAACCTGTGCAGAGAGAAGAGTTGTAGGAGGGGCCCAGTAGCCCCACCCACTACAGGATGCCTGCAGAAAAGTACAGGAGGGGCGGAGACTAGACCAGTCGCCCCGCACAAGCAGGGAGAACAGCAGTGACTGGTCTTTATTACAGAAAGTTCCTGCAGAGGCAAAGGTTTCACACTGGATTACTGCATAGATGTGGAAAGAATACAAAGTACACTGGGATTATCTGCTTATCCCAAAGTTTATCTTAAAAATCTTTAGGCCATCTAGTCACTCCGTGTTGTCTCTCCAGGATCTAGTGCATTCAGCTACATTTAGGATTCATGAAACAATAGAAACCTCCTGCGGTACTCAAAATTGGAATAATTATGAGGAGGGGGCTGCTAACACCCAACCATATACCAAATGGATAATGTGCAAAATCTAAAGTGAATTGGTGCAGCACTACTCCAAAAAAACACAGATAATTAAACCAATATATGATGTACGATAAATATGTAAAATAGAATATAGAATGCACATAAAACAGTTTAGAACAAAGAACATGTTCATAAAAACTTATAAGTGACTAAAAATGCCACCAATGCAATACAGTGATAACAACAAATCAATCTCGTAAGATCTCATAACAAATCAATCTTATGAGCAGGGGCGGACTGACCATTTGGAAACTCAGGCAGCGCCCGAGGTCAGTAGGGGGCCCCATGAGATGCCCCTGGTACCTTTTTCATAGGCTTTTTTGAGTTTGGGCAAGGACACAGGGGCCCCATGATCCCCTATGGCCCGGGGGCCCCATGAGTTGTCAGTCCGCCCCTGCTTCTGAGATTGATTTGTTATTATCACTGTACTGCATTGGTGGCATTTTTAGTCACTTATAAGTTTTTAAGAATATGTTGTATGTTCTAAACTGTTTTATGTGCACTCTATTCCATTTTATATATTTATTGTACATCATATATTGGTTTAATTATCTGTGTTTTGTGATAAGCCAGTAAGGGCTGCCTCTCCAATCCTTACTGCTACACCCTATATATAAACCCATATGGTTGGTATTTGCACAGGGTTAGGCATGCCTCTCACCCCACATGGGACCTTGCATGGGCTTCACCATTAGCTGCTCGGGAAATAAGCACTGCATTGTGTTACTGCAAGAAGAAATGTTCTCCTATATTCAGAGGCAACAGGAACTTAAACTGTGGCTATGAAGCTCAGGGATCACAGGTTACCTACAGTAGTACAAATTTATTTTTCCAAAACAAACTCTAAATTGAAGGGTTTCATGGCTAGGTTATCCATATGGGTTGAATTCAGCGATAGCTTGTCTGGTATAATAAATAGATTTTTGGGTCCAAATCTCACAGCTATACATTGCTACTGGAAAGCCCTTAAACAAGACTATACAAACTTTTGTCAACATGAAATCCCAGCTGTTCCATGAAATTAAAGCACTCTAGAGGGTTAGAATACTTTTAAAGTGACACTAAAGTTTCATTTTTTTGAAATAACAAAATGTCTATACTGACCTGCTCTGTGCAGTGATTTTGCACAGAGCAGCCCCGATCTTCTTCTTTTAGGGTCCCCACTGGCACTCCTGACTCCTCAAGCAGTGCCCCCAGGGAAAACAACTTGGCCCTGGGGACACCGCTGCGTGCTGGTCCCCGAGCTGCTTCTCTATGCATCCATAAGGCACGTAGAACCTCGGCTCACCCCGCCCTCTCCTCATTGGCTCACTGGCTGCAATTGACAGCAGAGGAAGCCAATGGGCTCCCAATGCTGTCCCAGCCAATAAGGAGGTAGAGCCCCCAGACAGCAGAGGCTGTGAAGAACGTCGCTGGATCAGAGGGGGCTCAGGAAAGGATTGGGGGTTGCTGGGGCAGACAGAAGGTTTTTAACCTTCATGCACAGAATACATGAAGGTAATAAGCCTTGAGTCTTTACAACCACTTTAATTACGGATGCTGGCCATACACTAAATTTTCAAACAAATGTTCGTATAAACATTCGTACGAACATTCTCAGTGCATTGGATGACTTGACAAACATTGTTTGAAAGTACCGTATTTGCCGGCGTATAAGACGAATTTTTACCCCTTGAAAAATCACACTTTGTCACACTTTGAATGACAATTGCGTGGTCATGCAACACTGCACCCATATGAGATTTTTATCATTTTTTTCACACAAATAGAGCTTTTTTTTGGTGGTAAGTACTCACCACTGGGTGTTTTATTTTTTGCGCTATAAACAAAAAAAAAAGAGCAAAAATTATTAGAAAAAAAAAAATTTGTTTCTATTATAAAATTTTGCAAACAGGTAATTTTTCTTCTTCACTGATGTACATTGATGAGGCTGCACTGATAGGCACTGATAGGCGGCACAGATGAGCTGGCACTGATATGCAACGATAGGCACTGATAGGCGGCACTGATGGGCACTGGCTGGTGGGCACTGCTGGGCAGCACTGATGGGCACAGGTAGGTGGCACTGAAGGGCATAGGGGTGTGTGGCACTGCTGGGCACCGATCATCAGTGCCCTGATGATCGGTGCAGATCCCTCCTCTGACAAATTGCTGGTTATCAGCAGTACTTTCCTTACGCTGTGACAGCGTGAGGAAAGTGCAGCAGATAACTGGCAACTGCATTTACCGGTGATCGGCTGTGTCATTGGACACGGTTGATCACGTGGTAAAAGGCCGCTGTGGTGGCCTTTTACCACCTCATGTGATCAGCTGTGTCCGTAGGACACAGCCATCACAGAGATCGCCGGGGACGTGCGGGGAGGGCGCATTCTGGGAGGACGTAATATGACGCCCTCCCAGAACTGGCCGGCCGCAGTGAAGCCATTATTTGGCTATCTGCAGTCGGCAAGTGGTTAAAGTCCATTTTATCCTGAACACCCCCATGTTGCCAAATGACGTCAGGTTCATTAGAAATCAAAAGGTGTAGCTTTCTTATTGTCATGAATTCTGTCTCACCTCCCTTTTCATGGGCCTACCTTTAACATGAATGTTGCTACCAGACTCATCCACCTTACCAACCACTCACTTCCCACTGCCCCTCTCTGCCGATCCCTCCACCAATGACTTCCACAAGCCTAAGGTAAAAAAATTTAAATAACATCATACAAAGCCATCTGCAACTCTGCTCCCTCAGTTACATCACCAAACTCATCTCAAAATATCACCCACACTGTCCTCTCTGCTCTTCCTAAGACCTCCTGCTCTCTAGCTTCCCAACGTCTGGAATGCTCTTGTCCCAAAAGTACGGAAACCCCCTCAACCAATCTGTCCAAATATCCCGTACTCTGTCCTTTTTTGTTCCTCCCAAGACCTCCTGCTCCCTAGCAACCTTGTCATCTCCTCCCATGCTTACATCCAGCCTCTTCCAACCTCTGAAACTCCCAACCTGTAAAGCTATCTCTTACTCTCTTAATCCATCTTTAGAAGATCCCTAAAAACTCATCTCTTGGGGAAGCCAATCCCACCTCAACCTAAAGCTGTCCATGAATGGTTTAAAATTTGTCTGCTTCAGCAGGGCGAGCCAAATTTTGACCAATGTGTGGCTGTGCCTGTTCAACAGAAGTCAATCAATAGATCAACTTTTGTTGAAAGGGCTTGTTGGAAACTCTCTCTATCTGCCGGCTGCAGCCACTGATCAGTTTACAATGACCCATCAGGGAGGATTTCTCTATCCATTTCGCTTGAGTGGATGGAGGAATCCGTTAATTTATTTCTTTTCGTTCAGCGAATTAAACATCCATGGCCAGCTGAGGTCAGCTAATGCTTCACAGTTATTACCTTTTGGATCACTTGTCCTTTTCAACAGTTGGGCCTTCCTGACCCTCTACACTGAATTGCATTGTAACTGGCCCACAATAAATGCTTAAGGGTCCCACCTCAGGCTGTCAAGGCCCAATGAGTTGGATGCCGCTGACTAGTGAGGGTGTAGGCTGAGGAAACGTCTGTCCAAACCCAAAGCATGTTGCAGGCATAGAAAGAGATAGCCCTGCCACCACACATCTCACCCAGCCTGAGTGGTTAGCGTATAAAAAGCAGCCTCAGCTCAATTCATCCAGACCAAGCCCCCAACATATTTCGCCCTACCCTCGGGGCTTAAACATGATTAAAGTGTTACTAAACCCAGGACCCTGCATCCACTATATCTGGTCTTCCACAATATACAAAACATGAAAAAGCATATATTTTAGTAACTATAAACTGCTAAATACCTTTTCTCATCAGCAGTTACAGCAGTCTTGTGACTTCTATCAGTGTCCAGCAGAGCACTGATTAAAGCTTGTAGGAGGAGTTTTCATTCTCCCTTGATTGTCCTATGATGCTGCATAATGCCTGGCCCTTTGTCTGGACAATGCCGATTGGCCCTGTGCTAATCACATGCACTCTCTGAAGAAGAAAAGAAAACTCTCTAGCAATACACACCAAACTGAGCATATGCAGCTTGCCCCCAAGGCTCTGTTCTATCAGCAGATGGATTGGGGACAGTAGAAGGGGAGAATCAGAGAAGATAGGATCAAACATCTTTTTTATACAATGTGGAGTATTAACCCCTTAGGTTCCACAATGAGTATAACAAGCATGCTTTACTGCATATACAGACTGATTTTACTGTTGCGGGTTTAGTAACACTGTAAGCTCGGGGAAACATGTTGTGGGCTTGGTCTGGATGAATCGAGCTTAGGGTGCTTTAACCTGCTAACCACTCGGGCTGGGCGAGGTGTGCAGTGGCAGGGCTATCTCTTACTATTTCTGCAGCATGTACTGTATCCTTTTTCATTTTGTAAAGCACTGAGCAAGCTGTTGGCCCTATATACATCCTGTATTATAATACTACTATTAATAATATTAATTAAATTAAAAACTTTTATCAAAACAGTAGTAGTACACCAGCAACCTCAGTGGCAGCTGGAGCTTTCAGCTTGGCATACAGTCCCTTTAATAATGTGATAAAAACTTTAAAACCTGTGAAATGTATTCTAGAGCATTCCCGAAGTCATGTGTTTATAGATCTCTCGGTGTTGCTCCATTAAATGTACAGTTTCGGATTTCATTAAAATGTGGAAATTAATGAAACCGTTTAAATTACACTGATACTTTGAAGGAAGAGTCATGCAATTTTTAATTTTTCCTCTCTAGAGACAAGAGTGTGCAGGTTTATTCAAGTTCAGAATTTGTTGTTGAGACAGAGCTAAAAAAGTTAAAAATGTATTCATTCCAATGACATAAAAGACACAATGGGAGGAGAGTAGCCAATCAGCTTCTAGCTTCAGCTTGCTCAATTAAGCTTTGACAATTAAACCTGAAAGCTGATTGGTTTCTATGCAGAGCTGCACCTCATTTTGCACTCTCCAATTTTAGTAAATCTCCACAACATGACCAATCCATACTGTAGCAAGATGTACCTCAATTTATGGACACACATCTCGGATCATGGTTGCATACCTAGGAGCAATCCAGTCACTGAGAGATGACTTTATCTCTGATGAATGATGCAATCTACAGTCAGGTCCATAAATATTGGGACATCGACACAATTCTAACATTTTTGGCTCTATACACCACCACAATGGATTTAAAATGAAACGAACAAGATGTGCTTAAGCTGCAGACTGTCAGCTTAAATTTGAGGGTATTTACATCCAAATCAGGTGAACGGTGTAGGAATTACAACAGTTTGCATATGTGCCTCCCACTTGTTAAGAGACCAAAAGTAATGGGACAATTGGTTTCTCAGCTGTTCCATGGCCAGGTGTGTGTTATTCCCTCATTATCCCAATTACAATGAGCAGATAAAAGGTCCAGAGGTCATTTCAAGTGTGCTATTTGCATTTGAAATCTGTTGCTGTCAACTCTCAAGATGAGATCCAAAGAGCTGTCACTGTCAGTGAAGCAAGCCATCATTAGGCTGAAAAAACAAAACAAACCCATCAGAGAGATAGCAAAAACATTAGGCGTGGCCAAAACAACTGTTTGGAACATTCTTAAAAAGAAGGAATGCATCGGTGAGCTCAGCAACACCAAAAGACCCGGAAGACCACAGAAAAACAACTGTGGTGGATGACCGAAGAATTCTTTCCCTGGTGAAGAAAACACCCGTCACAACAGTTGGCCAGATCAAGAACACACTCTCCAGGAGTTAGGTGTATGTGTGTCAAAGTGAACAATCAAGAGAAGACTTCACCAGAGTGAATACAGAGGGTTCGCCACAAGATGGAAACCATTGGTGAGCCTCAAAAACAGGAAGGCCAGATTAGAGTTTGCCAAACGACATCTAAAAAAGCCTTCACAGTTCTGGAACAACATCCTATGGACAGATGAGACCAACATCAACTTGTACCAGAGTGATGGGAAGAGAAGAGTATGGAGAAGGAAAGGAACTGCTCATGATCCTAAGCATACCACCTCATCAGTGAAGCATGGTGGTGGTATTGTCATGGCTGTGGGCATGTATGGCTGCCAATGGAACTGGTTCTCTTGTATTTTTTGATGATGTGACTGCTGACAAAAGCAACAGGATGAATTCTGAAGTGTTTCGGGCAATATTATCTGCTCATATTCAGCCAAATGCTTCAGAACTCATTGGACGCCGCTTCACAGTGCAGATGGACAATGACCCAAAGCAGACTGCAAAAGCAACCAAAGAGTTTTTTAAGGGAAAGAAGTGGAATGTTTTGCAATGGCCAAGTCAATCACCTGACCTGAATCCAATTGAGCATGCATTTCACTTGCTGAAGACAAAACTGAGGGGAAAATGCCCCAAGAACAAGCAAGAACTGAAGACAGTTGCAGTAGAGGCCTGGCAGAGCATCACCAGGGATGAAACCCAACGTCTGTTGATGTCTATGCATTCCACACTTCAGGCTGTAATTGACTGCAAAGGATTTTTGCAACCAAGTATTAAAAAGTGAAAGTTTGATTTATGATTATTATTCTGTCCCATTACTTTTGGTCCCTTAAAAAGTGGGAGGCACATATGCAAACTGTTGTAATTCCTACACCGTTCACTTGATTTTGGATGTAAATACCCTCAAATTAAAGCTGACAGTCTGCAGTTAAAGCACATCTTGTTCGTTTCATTTCAAATCCATTGTGGTGGTGTATAGAGCCAAAAATGTTAGAATTGTGTTGATGTCCCAATATTTATGGACCTGACTGTAAATGTGTTGCTTGAGCATGTACAGGTGAAACTCAAAAAAATTAGAATATCGTGCAAAAGTTCATTTATTTCAGTAATGCAACTTAAAAGGTGAAACTAATATATGAGATAGACTCATTACATGCAAAGCAAGATAGTTCAAGCCGTGATTTGTCATAATTGTGATGATTATGGCTTACAGCTCATGAAAACCCCAAATCCACAATCTCAGAAAATTAGAATATTACATGCAATCAATAAAAAACAAGGATTGTACATAGAACAATAATCAGAACTCTGAAAAGTATAAGCATGTATATGTACTAAGTACTTGGTTTGGGCCCCTTTTGCAGCAATTACTGCCTCAATGCGGCGTGGCATGGAAGCTATCAGCCTGTGGCACTGCTGAGGTGTTATGGAAGACCAGGATGCTTCAATAGCGGCCTTCAGCTCTTCTGCATTGTTCAGTCTCATGTCTCTCATCTTTCTCTTGGCAATGCCCCATAGATTCTCTATGGGGTTCAGGTCAGGCGAGTTTGCTGGCTAATCAAGCACAGTAATCCCACGGTCATTGAACCAGGTTTTGGTGCTTTTGGCAGTGTGGGCAGGTGCCAAGTCCTGCTGGAAAATGAAGTCAGCTTCCCCATAATGCTTGTCTGTGGAAGGAAGCATGAAGTGCTCCAAAACCTCCTGGTAGACAGCTGCATTGACCCTGGACCTAATGAAGCACAGTGGACCAACACCAGCAGATGACATGGCTCCTCAAATAAACACAGACTGTGGAAACTTCACACTGGACTTCAAGCATCTTGCAGTGTGTGCCTCTCCATCCTTCCTCCATACTCCGGGTCCTTGGTTTCCAAATGAGATGCAAATGTTGCTCTCATCAGAAAAGAGGACTTTGGACCACTGAGCAACAGACCAGGTCTGTTTTTCTTTAGCCCAGCTAAGATGCTTCTGACGTTGTTTGTTGTTCAGGAGCGGCTTGACAAGAGGAATACAACATTTGAAGCCCATGTCCAGACCGTCGTGTGTGTGTGGTGGCTCTTGATGCACTGACTCCAGCCTCAGTCCACTCCTTGTGAAAGTCCCCAACACTTTTGAATGGCCTTTTCCTGACAATCCTCTCCAGACTGCGGTCATCCCTGCTGCTTGTGCACCTTTTTCTTCCACACTTTTCCCTTCCACATAACTTTCTAATTAATGTGCTTTGATACAGCACTTTGGGAACATCCAACTTCTTTTGCAATTACCTTTTGAGGCTTTCCCTCCTTATGGAGGGTGTCAATGATGGTTTTCTGCACAACTGTCAGGTCAGCAGTCTTTCCCATGATTGTGATTCCTACTGAACCAGACTGAGAGACCATTTAAAGGCTCAGGAACCCTTTGCAGGTGTTATGGCTTAATTAGCTGATTAGAGTGGGACACTTTGAGCCGAGAATATTGCACCTTTTTACAATATTCTGATTTTCTGATATTGTGGATTTGAGGTTTTCATGAGCTGTAAACCATAATCATCACAATTATGACAAATCACGGCTTGAACTATCTTGCTTTGCATGTAATGAGTCTCATATATTAGTTTCACCTTTTAAGTTGTATTACTGAAATAAACAAACTTTTGCACGATATTCTAATTTTTTTAGTTTCCCCTGTATGTTCATGTTATGAAGTGGGGACAAAGTGTTACTAAACCCACAACAGTAAAATCAGTCTGTATATGCAGAACTCCTCCTACAAGCTTTAACCAGTGCTCTGATGGACACTGATAGAAGTCACAAGTCTGCTCTAACTGCTGATGAGAAAAAGGTATTTAGCAGTTTATATCTGGGAGACCAGATACAGTGAATGCACGGTCCTGGCTTTAGTAACACTTTAGGCCTGGTTCACACTAGTGCAATTTCAAATAAGGTCGATTTAAAATCGCACAAAATCACATGCCAACAGAAATCACATAATTTTCAATGGCACCTGTTTAATGCAACTCTGTGTGATGCGATTTTGGAAAAGAATCCTGTGCGATTTACAGTGCGATTAGGCCACAAAGAATATGGCAACACATCTGAAATGCAATCAAAGTTGCATCAAAATCATACTACATAAACATACTGCAAATCAAGTCAAAAATCGCATCCCAGTAGGTTAAATCCCAAAACAAAAATGTAATATGTTGCAGATAAACAAGATGTGTGGCTGCATTCAATTTAATTTTTTAAGTTTCTTTCCCTTATTTTCACCTGGTGATCTGGCCAGTAACACACTTTCAGTCTCCTTTCAAAACATAGTGGAGTCCACTCCGACCAGCAGGAAAGCTGCGAGAAGATTTTCTGCTGATCTGAGCCAAACAGGGTGGATATCGCATCTGAGCCTATCCAGTTTCTGCCTAGCGGATACCTGTCAGCTATAAGGGTGGATGGGTCTAAAGAGACTCCACTGTCCATTTACATCAGGCTACCTCTAATCTGATAAAATGGAAAAAATGCTGTTCAGTTGTGTTACCAGACCTGGATGGACCCGGGGGGTAGGCAGGTGTAAATTGGTCCATTTACATCCGCCTGCCCATAGGGCTGCATGGACCT